GAGACACGTCGGGTCGACGGAGGTTTCGTAGCGATTTGCCGCGAGAAACGATCCGATCGTTGGAAAACGTAATAACGGACGAGGCGAACGAGCTCGCGAAACAGACAGCGTATGGCAGAATCTTAGCTTTCGATTCGATCAGCGTAGGCGTAATGAATTTTTGATAGACAAGCGGTCGGTTATTGTTCGTATGGGAAGAATTTTACAGTAACTTATGAATTTATGTAAAAACCTATCGAACTGATCACGCCACGCTATTCTACAAAGCGTAATCTCGTTCGCGATACGATCGATGATTATCGCGACGATTATACGTGGAATCTCGGCGTATTTCGAGCGGCCGTTCTTTTCCCACCGATGGGTATTTCCAATAAGCGAAGGAAACGTCGAAAATAACACGGTCTTGCGATTTATCAGCTATGCGAAACCGCAGCGACCGAGAGAAATTCATTTTTTCGCGTACGATCGACGACGTTTCGCGAAACTACGTTTGAAAGCGTAGGTGGTAAACGTACGGTGGCGTGCGCGATACGAGTCGGAATGGAAAGAGAGAAGAAAACGGTTGGGAAAGGAGGTTGGCCTTGAAGCGTAGCAGGAAGCAAAAAAACGCATGGTGCATAAAGCATGGTGTATCGTTTTCCTAGCGTGATTCTCGGGGAGGTCTCACGTGCGTCGCAATCCTCGCGCAGTCGATCCCTCGAGGAAGACCTCCCGGAGATTTCGAAGGTTTCGGAGATTTCGGAGGTTTCGTTTGGGCGAGAGAGCGAGAAGAGGCGGCGTTGCGTGGCGGCGGCTGGATCGGTTAGGTGGTCTTCGTGGAAGGAGGGCAGATCGATGGAAAAACGAGGGGAGTCTGGTCGAAACGGTCACAGATGGTGTCTTGCGTGGTTTACGACGCAGCGCAGGCCCTTCCATATGGGAATGATACTATTTAACTCACCCTGGAGACCTGGCAGGGTGTCGGATGACCTATCCAGCCTGTACAACACCCTCCCTTCGACGCACAGGTTCGACTTTTACCAGCAGGTTCTTCTTTCTCCGATCGTCGCGCTCGCCTTCCTCTCGTTCCGAGCTTGTCCCAACATCGAAAAGTCGTGGAAAAAAGTGGAATAAAAACCGCAGCCAACCGCGCGTACGACGCACATTCTCCTCGATCGATTCGCTTAGGAATAGAGAAGAAGAAAATCGCTAGGCTCGGATACGTCGGTGGAATTTCGAGGTATCGATGTTGAGGTAGGGAAGGGCCTTCTCCGAGGTGGAGTTTAAACGGCTTCCTCGCCCTTCCTCCTTTACACCTGCCATTACCAAATTCTTCTCCAACGACATGTACCACTTTCCTTTATACCGGGTGTCCCACGCGACCGATCAAACAAGCTACGAGTTTGGCCGCGCGTGTACGGTATATATCGCGGCTATTTTCCGATTCCGCGTTACGACCGGTCGCCACACCGATCAATTTCTGTACCGAACGACACGGCCGATCGAAGGACGACCTTCGTCGACGTATATCGAGTGGCGGAGCCGTAGCACGCGCGTTACCAAAAATAGAAACGGCGTTTCGTCCGAAGAAATGATCGGTCCACTGTTTTCGTTAAGTACGGTCGAATTTGTAACTCGAGGCGAAACCGTGGCCTACGAGTCGCAGCTTTTGCCTGGCTTTCGGGGAATGGCGTTCGTGCACCCTCGCGGAGGCTCGTGTTGCCGGGTCGTGCGATACGTTACCCTTGTCCAACTGCGACACACGTGCTTCACCCTTACGCGACCGATCATTGGCCGTTCTTCTGTAACGAAAACTGGCTGAAAACTACCGGGAAAGTAGATCGCTTTTTAACAACTGGTTTCTCGTTATCGACGCGTCCGTAGTCCTTCTTTGCTGCCGTCTCCGAACGATATCGCGAGAGCAGGTAGGAGAGAAGAGAAAACCGTGGAAAGCCAACTGTCTCGCTTCCAGTTTGGCCGAAACGACAGGCTCGATACTCTGGGAAGATGGATTCTCGGGCGTTTTCCGTCGGAGCGACTCCGGAGGAAGGATCGTCTAGAGCGCGCAGAGCGTGGAGGAGGTAACGCCCGAAGGCTGGAGAATTCTGGCCGGTGGAATAGAAGTAATCTCTGGAGAAGTTGGTGGAAGTAGCGGGGGTAGGAAGGGATGGCGGTGATGGTGGAGAATGGCGAACGCCGGAAGTGGACGGGGGTTGGGAACGAACGAACGAACGGAAGTGGAAAAGGGAACGGCGAAGAGAAAGCGGAAGGGCGGCGCGGAGCCGTGAGCCGTGGAAGAGAGGCGTGGAGAGGAGAGGAGAGGAGAGGAGGAGCGAGTGGGTGGGTAGAGGAAAGAGGGTGAGGAAGGATGGCGGAGAGGCAGGGCAGGGCGGAGAGGCTGGAAGCGGAACCGGAAGCGGAAGCAGGGAGCGCAGGAAGACGAAGCGACGTCGACGTCGGCGTCGGTGGCGGCAGC